GGGGGGGAGAACTTACATCAAAGCCAAAACAATTCTGCATGTCACTTTTGGTGTCCATAGTTTTTCTACTGTGCTGGGTCTCCATCTTTTGAACTTGTAACATTTGTTCCTCTGTCAAAGCTGCAAATATTAAACAAATAATAATGCTTTAAACGTTTAACACAGAAATGTGTGGCTCCAATTTAAAGGTGTGTAGATAGAAGGTACTCACGAGGATGATGCCCAGTTATCAGCTCTCCACTATCACTATCATCATCTCCTTGGTTATTGATAGCGTTATGAGCCATATTATCACCAGTAACAACAGCTAGAGCCTGTTCCTGTCCGTCACCATCCTGGAGTTGAATGACCTCCAGAACAACATACTGTTGTCCATCAGAGCCCTCCACAGCCATCATTCCTTGACCACTATTTTCATCGTCTTCATCCTCATCTTCATCTTCCATATCACCATCTTCTGGCATAACTTCCACCTGAAAGCAAAGAAATGGGAACGAGTTTAGCAAGTCAGTGCAAAAGGAATGCGGCATGAAAACAAGAGTTTCTTTTTTTTGTTTTCAATAAAAAAACAATTCTTGTTAACCATAAACGGGCTTGTAGTTAAGTAAGTTTTCTATTTTATAGTTTTGAGCAATATTTTTTGAATACAGAAGTTTGCGCCGTGTCATAGCGCCCTCTCACTCGTGCAATCTGCTTTTGGACGCCATGTAGGCATTTCATGCCTGCTCGCTGCATTCTTCTTGTTCTTGATGTGTCGTTTTGCGTGATATTTTTTTGAATTAGCCTCTTAATCATTACTTTTATAATTAAACACAATTTTTGGCATGAGCGCTGGGCAGCGCGCGCGGGGGGGCTGACTACTCAGAGAGCAAGGTGTCTATTGTTGCTCTGGTACCCGGGCGTGGGTGTGGAGCTGCTTAACAGGTGGTGTTGAACCATGACGCCCTCCCCTCTCCCACCAACTGTCTGGCAGAAAAAAGTCCGTTTAAAAATGATTTACCTGTTGGCCATCAATTATTTGTATTTTCTTCTGTCTTCCTAACTTGAGTGCCATAGCTTTCTCTTGTGTTGTTGCATCAGGGTCATGCACTGCCATATGACGAATTAAATTCCCTTTGTGCCGGAAGGTTCTCCCACATTCAGAGCATTCATGTGTTTTCTCACGGGGGCAGGGTGGTACATACTGAGGGTTATGGTAAAGATTTTGGTGTCTCTTCAGAAGCTGCTTTTGACGGAATGACTGAAAATAGTAAAGACAAAATGGGTGAAAAACTGTAATTTAAGAGTAATTGTGGGGTAACTAATAAATAAATCAGTAGTGTCTAAAATTAGTTACCTACCTGATCACATTGATCACACTGATATGGCTTCTGGTCAGTATGGATTAACATGTGAGATTCCAGATGTCTAGCAGATATTGATGCATAAGGACACAAGTCACATTTATAACATTTTTCTCCTTCATGAGTTTTGTTATGAACCTAAATTGAAGAATAAGTATTATCATTTAGCTAAGATACATCCAAACATGAGGATAAGTATTTGATAGATTAAACACAAAAGAAGTCATACCTTGTAAGTGTATCTATCAGGGAATGTTTTACCACATCTTTTGCACTTTAAGGGTTTGTCAGAAGTGTGCAACTTCTGGACATGGATTCGGAGATCAGTTTTACGACCACATGTAGTAGGACACAGTTCACATCTGTAGACTGGCTTATCTCCGACTTCTTCTTGAATTAATTAATTAATTTTAATATTAATATATGGGTCAAAAGCTCATACTTACAAACAAGTTTCAAGAAATAGTAGTCGAACATCTAGATGAATGGCTTACCTCTGTGTATCAACATGTGTGCCTTTAAACTATTGGATTGAGTAAATCTTGCATGGCAATAATCACACTCATAGGGTTTCTCACCAGTGTGTATTCGGAGATGCCTCTTCAATTTGAATGTGTCTGGACTGGCATAAGTACAATGTGGACACTGAAATACAAAACCATTTGGACTATTGAAACCACATTTACAGAAAACCACTAGAAAGCATAGCCATCACCAAATATATAATTGGGCATCAAGCAAACTGTACATTCATGTTTAAAGAGGCTAGAGAACAATCATGATGATCGAATACTGTCACCTCAGTCAATTCAGTAGCCAAACACCATAACAATACTTTTTAATTTCCAAACCATACCAGGAAAGTGAAACAAAGCTTTTTATCAGAAGAATCTGACTTGTTGGCAAGTTTGTCTTGTTGATGAAGACTGAATACTCAATAAAATTACAGACAGTACAAAAGCACAACCACAAGATAACCACATAGCTGAAATAACTTTCTCTCAGTATCAATTTAAAGGTGGAATCTGCCCCCTTTCAAATACCACTTTATGAATATCAAAATCTTTTTCACATAAAATAAATGATACCGTAACTCAGTATCACCAATGCAAAATATTAAACTGAAGTATAATTACATGCAAGGGAAAGCATTCATTTCCATTAATATATGACAGAGAGCCAAGAGAACCATACACCACAATCACCAGAATTTTTAAGGTGAAAGGTTATCAGGAGAAACAAAAGCTTGAATCTCCTTCCAGATTAACATGAAAATATGAGTGACGATTACCTGATAGGGCCTTTCACCTGTATGGCATCTCATGTGGTTCCTCATTTTACTCAGCTCCACGCTGGCGTAGTCACAAACACTACATCTGTGAGGTTTCTCGTGGGTATGTTTGTACCGAACATGCCTAACAAGTTCACCTGTGAAAATCAACACAAATATATAGGTCCTCACCTGATAAGGGCGTTCGCCAGTGTGGCACCGCAAGTGCCGCTTCAATTTACTCAACTCCACACTAGTGTAATCGCAGTCGTTACATCTATGGGGTTTCTCGAGTGTGTGTCTATACCGAACATGTCTTACAAGTTCACCTGTGGAGACACCAAAGCGGACATACATTTCACACAGGAACTATTGACCCCTGCTTTCAACCTCTGAAGACTATTAGTTACTGATGTTTGATTAAGATAATTAACAATACAATACTTTCACACAAAAAGAATAAGCTGTCATAAAATTCATAGAATCAACAGCATACTAAAACTATAAGCTACATTATATGTTACAAAATGAAAAAAAAGAATCTAAAAGCCAAAACAATAACAAATGAAATAAAAAAATTCAAAAACAAACAAAAAAAGAAGAGGTTAAAAAGGGGCCAGATGGGGAGATATATTCGGTACAAACCACAGGATATTACCTCACCCTCTTAATAAAAAAAAATAAAAAAATGAAGCAACAGAAACCACAAAAGTGTGAGTGTCATAAGTACATTAAAAACTAAAGAGATCTACATAAGGAAATTTGAGTGAGAAAACAGTTTTTTTTTTTTTTTTTGTCTTTGACACAAATTGTCACCTTGATAGATAGATAAATGATCCCAAACAAAAGAGATTTATCAGAAAATATTATACTGATAGAAACTACCGTCATCAGTACCATGTCATTTTGACCTTCTGTGACAAATCTCTGATATTTGAGACTGAAATTGAGCAAGATCAAATTTTCATAAGGTCCATAAAATAATCTTCTTTTTAAAGAAAAGAGCAAATCCCTTGCCAAGGTGACAAAGGTTACCTGATGTAGTGAAACTGCTGTCACAGAATTTGCAGCGGTGTGGTTTTGTTCCAGTGTGGGTGTTAACATGATTTTGAAGAGAGGCAAGGGTTTTAAAGCCCCTTTCACAAACACTGCATTTGTGAGGTCGTTCTTCTGAATGAGATTTCATGTGACGAGATAGGAGGTATCTAGGGTCACAGAAAAATACATGAGAGCAACAAATCATATAGGTAGACATTAGCACACATGGCACTTTTTTAGCATTAATGTGCCACACCATGCATCAACATATTTATTCAGTTCTATGCAGCACCCCAAATTTTAAGGAGAAGTCCCAGGAAAGATTCCCATGAAACCCCTGTAATTCTAAGCAATACCTCAATTTCCGATTTAAAATTGGAAAAAGGGAGTTATAGAATTGAATAAATACAGTGTTTGCAATTTTATCCACAGATTATTTCTTACCTTTTAGGACTGGTATAGTTGCAATAATTGCACATATGAGCTTGAGTAACAGTCTGAGATTTCTTTGGCATTATCTTTACAATCTTTGTTTTATCATCTTCATCTCCCGATTCCTAGGATGAGAAAAGTACCGCTGGATATTCATCATACTGAAGTTTAAGACGCAAATGGTAAAAAGTAAAACCAGCATACATACCAAACTGGGGCCTCCCTCTTCACCCTCATCAAAGTCATACACTGTGAGATCTTGATCCTCATTCTTATCCTCATCCTCTTCATCTTCTTTTTCATCTTCAGGCTGTTGTACTATCAGAACATAACTCACTTCACCAGGGTTAGTGTCAGATGGAACAATGGTGACAGTCTGGTAAGAATCACCAGGGTTCAAAATCATCCGTTGTCCCTAAAGTTGAAAAATAAGTAAATAAATTCAATAAAAGAAACAAGGAAATGTAGCCATATAAGAAATGCTTTAATAGAAACATAGAAGGGCAGGGGGGAT